ATAGATAGATAGATAGATAGATAGATAGATAGATAGATAGATAGATAGATAGATAGATAGATAGATAGATAGATTGATAGATAGATAGATAGATAGATAGATGGGCATACTATACAGTCTTTCACCTTACTGTCCACTGTAGTAGACTCTTTCGTTGCACCTGCTTTTACCTCATCTTATACATTGTGGGTTGGATCAAACACACAATTTCGTGTAATTTGGTTGCAAGTAGAACATATGGTTGATGGGAACTCGGGGACTGCTCCTACCTGATGAGCCCCAAGAAGGGCTACGAACTTCAGTTCAACCATCCTTAATGCACGGAGGATCAGAGATCCGGCACCAAAGAGGAACATGAAACGCGCCATTCGTAAGATAGTGACCTAGAGATCTGAGTTTTCCACTGTGGCTTGAGAAAGGAAAGCTGAGACTCTCGCCATTGCAACGATCTAAGTTGTGATGGTGCACGGTTTCTGCGACCGCGTCCAGCAGCACATGTAGTAAAGTACTCGGCGACTTTACTAATGGGTTTTCAAACCAACTTGAGTAATTGGTATATTCAGTGCTATTCGACCATTTTATCCAAATACTTTATGGAGTCATAAATAGCTGGGGGACTGTGGCTCCATTGACTCAGGCACCAAGGTCATACCGTAAAAATAGTTGTTGGGCTTCAAGTATCACTGCTAATGGAAGATTAGGAGGTAGTTCGTATGTATGTTCAATTTTACGAGAAAACTATTTTCAGACTGATTGAAAATTAGGGGTTTGCGTTTATCGGAATTGACTTTGAAATGCCCCACAAAGTAGGACAGAATGGTACATACTGAACGATTTGACCAGTGTCAGTTGCGCCGTCTTTCATTACGATGAGATCGTTAACTTCGTTTCGGCATCGATGGAAAATGCTTTTTCAGTAGTATGCGAGGTTTTAACGCCTCCTCTGTCGTGTTCCAACCGAAAGGTCTGTTGAGGCCCCTGTTCAAAACTCGATCCTGTCTGTTACTCATACTATTGATCCGAGGGTGGCAGGGTTTACTTTATCCGGTTGATGATAGACGGTTATTCGTTCACCAAACGAATTCACTTGTGCTGTTTCATTCAGCTCACCTCACACACGTCATTCCGGAGACACCGAGGCGTTCGGAGGAAGCAGTTCAATAAGATAAGGACTGTCGCTTCCAGTACATATGACCTCATAGCCAAGGAGTCCGATCCAGAACACAGCGCTAGCTAACACTATCACGAAGTGACCCAACGTGCATAATCTTCAGAGGTGTTAAGAGGACGAAGGTGATACATGTTCATACTAACTGGAGCATTGTTTTCGCTCGCATCCGTATTCAAAATAGGAAGGAGGAACGAATCGATATCTTTGCATAATGAGCAGGTGCAATAAAAATCATGTTTCCATGGGACAAGATTTGATCTTTTTGATTCGTTTTTGTTTGTAATTTGATAGACGACAACCTTGACACCTTTCATAAGTGTGAAAAGTTACGAAATAAAAAGGCTCTTATTCCCGGAAAGCTAAAAAATGCCCCACTAGTGGGAGAATCAGGCATCGCAGCTTCATGTCATTTGCTGACTTTTTACAATTAGAATTCGATACGCAACCTATATAATTGACCCATTCAGGTTGGGTTGTCTAAACGAAGGTAGAAAGGGAGGGTCAAACACATTTTACGGTATCAGTAGAGAGTACTAGGTATGGTTCTGACTAGAACCTCTTAAAAAGAGGCCGAAACTAGTGTTAGTTAGTTGCCATGAAGCTCCTGATGAGAAAACGAGCGATTTCGCTGAAGGAATAACCTGTCGTTTCTCGGTAGCCATAAAATACTTAAATGTTCAATCCTCTGATGTCATTGTTTTGTAGATCATTTCCAAGGTTGAGGAGGTGCACCATCATCAGTGACATCAATATCATCATCATCATCATCATCATCAGCATCATCATCATCATCATCATCAGCATCATCATCATCATCATCATCATTATCTCACCATCATCATCAACATCGTCATCATCATCATCATCACCATCATCATCATCAGCATCATCATCATCATCATCATCATCGTCATCATCATCATCATCATCATCACCATCATCGCCATCATCACCGTTATCACTAACAACAGCAACGGATGAGAACGCTGGGTCTTCTCAATCAAATACAGTTATCCGAATCAGTATGGGCAGTCTTATAATGGAAACGAGAAAGAAATGAGACAGGGGGAGTAACTAGGGCTAGTCTACAACAAACAATTTAGGTGTCTACATCCACAAGACCCGCTCCCTGAGTTCTCAGTCATGTTCGAAGCCTTAAGTCCTTCGCCGTGATTTTGCACTTTGTAGGGATGAAGTACGTGGCTAGAGACTGAATGATCTGGGTCACTATCCTCTAGCATCGCCTCTTTCAAAAATAAAAACAGTATTATCTACATTTTCTGTAGTAACAAGATTCTTGCTCGGAGAGATCTGTACACTGGGGTTTTGGAAACCGCCTAGTGTCAACCTCACTATTCCATCAGTGACGAAGCTAAAGAAAAACTAGATTAGAGTGGGCATCCATATCGGACACCGCCGCTTGTGGGAAGGCTTTTGGAGAGTTTCCAATACACTCTTATGCACTCACAATTATGTGAATACAAACAGTGTGTATTGCATTTACGAAATTCTGAGAAGCCTGTTGTAAAGAACCAAAACACTGACGAATAGAACTCATTTTTGAGGTCAAAGGTCACTAAGATTTTAGGGTGCCGATATGCATGCCGTTGCTCTGGCACTTGACAGTGTCTGAAGATGTGGTCCTCTTATTCTGTTCCTGGCTGGAAGCCTGCCTGCTGTTCGTTGATTACACCTCAAAGCGCCCCCGTTTGACGGCTTGAAATAAGGGACTCAAAGAGTCTGGTTACGACAAGGGGTAAACTGATCCCTCAGGGGCTGCTACACTCACTACCAGCACCCGTTATGAAAATAGGCACCAATATCCAATTAGTTAAGTCGGTTGGGACAGGTCCTTTTGTCCAGATAAAGACAACAAGTCAGACAAGCACCAACTGAGGATTCTACCCCGGTGTCTGAGTATAGCGGGTGAAAGTTTGGCACGATTAGTACCCCGGTGGCATTTGGGGGACCAAAAGCAACCGCATATCTCCGAAGGCATCGGGGGTTCCTGGTTCATTGTTCAAGGCCACGTTGCCGGTTAATATTCCGGAGGAAAAGCTACAACTGGCCAGTTGAATTATTCTTGAAAGTTTCCAGCACAACGATCTAGGTGTTCTTGTTTGAAGATGGGCGAGGCATTCTGATTATTTCGCTTACCGGAGTTCTTAGTAAACCTGTCGCGCGTATGAGCTGGGACGGTTTACTCATATGGTAAGAGTTTTCTGCTGCCTCTATCTAGTCAGGTTTCAGAATCCTCAAAAATTCTCGATCCGCACATGGAGTCTGACAGTTCTTCGAGTAGTATTATACTCTGCATCAGCAGGAATACCTGTGCCAGCTTGGAGCAATTTTGGAATGGTGCTGGAAATTCATTGCTTAGATCTATTTGGTTGCACCGTCCTATAGACGAAGCAATCAATATCTTGCAGGGATGCGGACAGCAAGTATCGGCTTGTTTATGGAATACACCGACAGACGTCACCAAATGAATTACGCAAGGGCGTCCATCAACGAGCAGCCATTCAAGCAGAGATCCTTCATCTCAGCGTCCAAGAACAATGCCAACCTCAGCAGAACCAGACGCAGGGCTTCTGGAACTCCACAGATGCGCAAACAGAAGCAAGCAGAAACCGTCAGTGAGGTCAGTTTGACAGCCCTACTCGTTTCAGACAAACAGCATACATCAGTAAAAAGCAACTCCAGTGTACATGCAAGAGCAGTTGATTGACCAGTTTGTTTCACGTTGCCAAAGTTTAAGGCTGAAAGCAGGGCTGAGCTGAACTAATTGTCAGGGGTTGAAGAGTGATTTTGGACTATCTGCGGCCATGGCGGCAGTGGGCGTCTAAAGGATCTTTCATTCCTCAACAATTGGCCTGAGGAAATGTCGCTAGAATCGGGGCGAGGAGGGTGATAACAACAAATACGTAAAAAAGGGATCATAGGGCTTGCCTATCGTTCTGTGTACAGTGACTCGGATGGTAACACAACACGAAGGCTTATGTGACATGAAATTACCTGTAATTATGCAATTTATATTTGTACGTGGGCTGGGTTACTGCCAGGACGTCCACACCTAAACAGGAGGGGGGCTGGTGTCCTCAACCAGAAACTCTGGTTCAGAAGCTAAGCCTCAATGCAGCATTGCTTGGCGGGCGACCATCAGAGCAGCCTAATTTTATAAAGAGCTGATTGCTGCATATGTTCCAACCCCAACCTGGAGGACTAGAAGGCTGCGTTAGTCGGACGTCCACTCGTTGGTATGAAAAACTCTGTCAGTGTCAAACGCGCATGCCCTCATTAGGAGGAGTCAGTGGTATACAAAGTTGCACAAATCTCCACACCGCAGCAAGGTCTTGTCTCTTCGTTATCGGATACATTTCGTATTTATCTGGTAGCTCTGACTCGGTAAAAGGGGGCATAGACAACTGCGCGAAGAACTGGCTGGTAACGGAATAAACCGAAGGCCACTGGTTATCATCTCCATTTGCGCATCTTTGACAGGACTAACAATTAAAGGAAACATTCTTTGCCTGTTGTATTCATGAGGGTAGTCAGCAGATCATTTACGAATTTTTGAAGCGTCGTCTTAAATGACATATTGACATGCAAGATCAGAGATCAAACACCCGAGAGACACACGAAAAGTGCCGTTTGGAACATGGCGATCCAGCGATTTTGAGTCCTCACTGTTGCAGGAGAGAAGAAGCTGAAACTTTCGTCACTGCAAAGGTCTAAGTTGTCATAATGGTGTATGGTTTCTGTGACTTCGTTCAGTAGATTTTGCAGATATTAAAGTACACACCAAATCTTCGCGAATGGGTTTTCTCATAACGTAAGTAATTAGTATAGTCAGTAATATTCGACCGTTTTCACCGAATAGTCCATGTGCTCATAAATTGAATTCGGACATTGGTTCCATTGTCCCCAATCCCCTAGGCTATAGCATGAAATTCCTGTTGAATTTTCAAGGGTCAAGTCTCATTGCGGATAGCGGAGTGCAAGGCATTTTGGTGTACGCATTCTTGTGGCCAACTCTTTGTGAACTTTTGCTCACCCCATCATCTCCAAATCTGAATCTGCTTCGACAAACTAGTAAAGCTCACTTTAGAGTGACAGGTAAATCACAATTTTTTAAGTGTTCCTGCTTGCTCGCCCTTATTCGGTTGTATCACTGCACCCTCTTGTTGTATGTTCACATCATACCGTCCAATCTGTCTGATAGTGTGGTCCGTCTCTCTTACCAGTCACATCATACCGTCCAATCTGTCTGATAGCGTGACATCTGTGGTCCGTTTCCCTTTCCACTAATACTGTATTTATTGATTTTATTGATAAACCAATCACACCCGCTGTAAACTTTAGCAGCGTCCACCTCTGTGTGGGGAGAGAACCAGCTGTCATTTGCACAGGTCCCCAAATAAAGGTCTAAGAAGTGCAGGTGTGTCGTCCAACTAAATGGACTTTCCCAAACGATTTGATGCGTCGGAATCGTTAGAAAGGCCAGCTCGCAACACACAGACCAAGGATGTCGCAGTACTCAAATAGGCTCTTTTTTGGACTCGCTCAGCTTTGTTTCTTCGATGTTCAAGTATTGCCAGAGAAGTCAAAATTTGATGTCCTTTAGATCTTTGAAAAAGGCCTCTAGCCCTCTAACTAGTAAGTTCTTGCTTACTGGCTCGCATTGGTGACGTCCTGGCAAGCAAAGTGGCAAAATATTGTTAAGATCGGGGAGAGAACTCAGGCTGCAAATGAGGACAAGAGGACACAGAGCCAGGCTTTTGCCGTCAGTTTCAACTCTAATATTCTAAAGCTATCTGAAGCTATCAAAAATTACCTGCGTACATCGGAAGGCAAATTACTGGACGAACAACAGGAACACGTTAGGGACAATCAAAACATCAGTTTTCACACCCTGTACTGCTAACACAGCGTATCAGAAGCACGGAATTTTTTTATTATCTCTGTGTATTCGTATAGATCGTCAAGGAATAAACATCTCTAACAGTCGAAGCTCTTCGCCGGAGGAGAATACATTCACGATCGATCGTAAGACAGCTCACAAACGAACGTGGGGAGGATGCTACAGAATAATGGATGAAGGTCATATTCAGGGCGACCAAAGTAAAGTCACATGATAGCCGGGAATGAGGAAAGTGACCAAACACTGACCAGTCTGAGTCAGCTCACCTAGTATATTGATTCGTTTCGGTGATCATCAACTTCTTCCGAGTCTGCTCTATCCGTGATCTATCCGGGAAAACTTAGAGGTGTTTTCAGAGTACTATTTGGAATTTGACCACTATCTAAAGGCACCGCAATAAAAGGATTTAATACGCACAGTGGTACTATACAATAGCCTAAAGCTGGCGATAAATTTTTGTATCAAAAGTTACATCACTTCCATAGAGAATTGGTGGGTGAGCGCAGCTTTTATCCCCAAATAAAAGGAGCAGGTGAGGAATCAGATTCCCCAATTTTCATAAAAGCATGATTTTTTTGTGGCGATTTTTTGAAAAACTCGGTGAAACTCGGTGTGAAATGAACTACTCACCAACTACTATGAGAGGTTCCAGTTTTGGGGTTCTGAGGCATAGGTATCTTGTTCATAGTCACAACAATCGTTTGAAAGGTCGCCTCCTGGTTACACGTTCGCCTCGCACATCAGATACCCGGGGTTCAAATCCAGGCACGGTCATTGAATATGCACTGTTGATGAGCTCTAATAAGAGCAAAACTCGAGTCCAGTGTTTCCTTTTGGTGTGGACTCACCGGAATAATTACGCCAGAACAGGGGGACGGCCGTTCAAACGAGAGTGGTGTGGCTATGAACAAAATACTATAAGGGGCTTGATAAACGGAGGATTTGCAACCGAAATTGAAACAGTGAACGCTGGCCTTGAGATGCAAATGAGCCATGCAAATCAAAGACTGGATTAATCAAACTAACACGAACCGCGCAAGCACCTGGCGAAGAATCACACGGTTCCAAAATTCGGCTATTCCATGGAAATGTGAAGATGCATCGAAGAAACAGAACGAATTACTAACCTTGCTGAGTAGACTGCCGACTAGTGATTTAGCTGACAATATTTGATGCGGTCACAATTTCCTCGTCTCGTGGCACCTCATCCATCAAATGTTCCTCTCGCACATATCGCAGTTTGTCTTATCTACAACTCAGTGTTTAGCTTCGCGCATGATACAAAAGAGCACTCTAAACAACCCTAGTAAGTTTTATCAGTTTCACCGTACAATGAGTTTTTGATTACAAAGAAGGTAAATTGGCTCTGAAATCTGAGCAATACTCTAAACGATTTACCGAAAATAGCCATGTGTGAGTAGCGCATTCTGAGATTTGTATTCATTCAAAAGTGCCCCACATAAGCGGGCACGAAGCGCCGAATCAACCACATTATTCAGCCACACGAAAAGAAGTGAAAATAAAACCAAACTTTTTTTTGAACCAAAACTTTGGCAAAACCCAAAGTCGATATCACGATATTAAGTGACGCTACGAATTTAGGCATAAACTAGCTCTGATAGGATCGCAGACAAGTCCGTTCCTCTAACTCAATAATTTGTATGCATTCTGCATTCACGTGAGCACTACCCAAGCTGCGCTGGCTCAGTTATCCTGGTCGGTTGACGTCACACAGTGGAATCAGTGAACTCCACAAAAGTGCGCAGCAGAGCGCAATACTTGACTTGCTACGCTGTGAAGAATCGGGGCAGACAGTTAGCACAGACTTTGTTAGAAGAAAGATAGGACGGCGATTTGGTAGTGTTTGAATTGTATTCCTTTTGGAATTGTGGGGAACATCATTTACTGTAGGACGGCCTGATAAACGTTTTATCTGCCTNATGCACTGCTGATGAGCTCTAATAAGAGCGAAACTCGAGTCCAGTGCTTCCCTTTGGTGTGGACTCATCGGAATAATTACGCCAGAACAGGAGGACGACCGTTCAAACCAGAGTAATGTGACTATGTACGAAATACTATGAGGGGCTTGATAAACAGAGGATTTGCAACCGAAATTGAGACAGTGAACGCTGGCCTTGAGATGCAAATGAGGCATGCAAATCAAAGACTGGATTAATCAAACTAACACGAACCGCGCAAGCACCTGGCGAAGAATCACACGGTTCCAAAATTCGGCTATTCCATGGAAATGTGAAGATGCATCGAAGAAACAGAACGAATTACTAACCTTGCTGAGTAGACTGCCGACTAGTGATTTAGCTGACAATATTTGATGCGGTCACAATTTCCTCGTCTCGTGGCACCTCATCCATCAAATGTTCCTCTCGCACATATCGCAGTTTGTCTTATCTACAACGCAGTGTTTAGCTTCGCGCATGATACGAAAGAGCATTCTAAACAACTTTAGTGAGTTTTCACAGTTTCACCGTACAATGAGTTTTTGATTACAATGGAAGTGAATTGGCTCTGGAATCTGAGCAGTACTCTAAACGGCTTACCAAAGATAGCCATGTGCGAGTAGCGCAATCTGAGATTTGTATTCATTCGAAAGTGTACCGCATAACCGGGAACGAAGCACCGAATCAATCACATACTTCAGCCACACGAAAAGAAGTAAAAATAAAACCAAACTCCTTTTGAACCGGAAATTCGGCAAAACCCAAAGTTGATATCACGATATTAAGTGACGGTACCAATTTAGACATAAACTAGCTCTGATAGGATTGTAGACAAGTCCGTTCCTCCAACTCAGTAATTTGTATGCATTCTGCATTCACGTGAGCACTACCCAAGCTGCGCTGGCTGAGTTATCCTGGTCGGTTGACGTCAAACAGTGGAATCAGTGAACTCCACAAAAGCGCGCAGCAGAGCGCATTACTTGACTTGCTATGCTGTAAAGAATCGGGGTAGACAGTTAGCCCAGAATATGTAAGAAGATAGATAGGATAGCGATTTGGTGGTTTTTGAAATGTATTCCTTTTGGAATTGTGGGGAACATCATTTACTGTAGGATGGCCTGATAAACGTTTTATCTGCCTCCAAATACGATCAAACGCATTTATTTTTGAAGGTTGAATGTACGTTGAGAATGTGCGTAAAATTTTGTTCTTTCAACGAGCAAAAGTGAACAAACCCAGCAAATGTTTCAAAAGCACAAGGCTTAAAGTAATACATCACCATGGTTGCATCAGGATTGCTAAACGTTTAAAGACAAGAAGGTTTCCGTCGTCTTGAATAAACGAACAGAAATTTTCGGGGCGACTTCTCCGAAGTTGCTGTGAGTGCTTCATACAGCCCAGGATCAAGCGATGTCTGCTCAGACGGAGATACCATAACTTAGTATCATAACTTAGTATAAATGTGTGGTAGTCCTGAATGGCTCAGTAATCGATCGCCGTAGTGTCATTCTTCAGACAGAGTTAGATGGGTTGGATACGTAATCATGAAGTTAGTCAGTAATCGAAACAAAGTCAAATGATGGGAGCTGTAATTGGACGAATTTGGAGCTATATCTTTTCTGTATTTAAGCCTACCACATGGTCCATTAGACATAACAATCGAATATTTAGGTAATAGCCTTTATTTTTTAAGTTTGGTTTCTTGGAAATTCGTGATACACCACTTTTACTGACTCTCAGCAAGACTGTGAAGTTACTTTTAGCTCTCCAGCATGAATTCTTTTCATCCGGAAGATGATATTTCGGTTTAATTACTGACCGAATCATAGGAAAAAGAATATGTTCGTTAAAAATACGGGAAGAAACGACATAAACGAAAGAAGTTTGTGATCGCGACGGAGGAGAATAAAGCTAACGAAAGTTGAACAGATTAGTAGGTGAAGTATCAAACTATTTTCAGTGGGTAGGAACATGTGACCAACGATTGCCATGACACATCTTCTTAAGTAATCTTAATTATTTATATGTTCAAGGTCACAAATCAGCATATTTCACTGGCAAATGATCAAATAATTCATAGCGTAGAGGAGCAATGAAAAAATTAAGGTGACCTGATCTTCGTGGTAAGTTTGTGATTTCGCAATTATCCTCATGAGTCTAGTAGGTGCATTTCGTCTGTATACGAAGTAACATGTGATGAGTTTATAATGTCGGGCATTTGTGCAGTGACACTTCATTGATCCATTTTTTGGCTCTAACGCGTTACATGAATACTTCGTAGGTGAGGGTCACTTCGGCCGTAATGACATCCGATCAAAAACCTCTCCAGATCCCCACCTAGAATACCGACGTTGTGTTACACAAAATGAGAGGCGAAATAAACATACAACCCTAGTTACATCATGCAGTTTTATAAATAACCGCTTTCGAGAGCATGAACCGACATTTGCTTCTGATTGTTACTGCGACAAGAGGTATACATTTACACGGAACAAAGAAATAATGTCTAATGTACGTTCAAGATGGAAAATCAATCGGTGCTTGTACAGCCGATTCAGTGTGACGTCATCAAGGAGAGCAGCGACAACTGATATTCGGTTGAGTTTCTCGTCAACACCAACATACGTTTTGGGGAAATATTACGCACAGTTTGATTGTACAATTTGGTGTTCACTTAATAAATACAATTGGTGAAAACTCGACGGTAAACATTTAGACAGAACAAAGAAATAATGTCTAATGTACGTTCAAGATGGAAAATCAATCGGTGTTTTTACAGCCCATTCAGTGTGACATCATCACAGAGAGCAGCGACAACTGATATTCGGTTGAGTTTCTCGTCAACACTAACATACGTTTTGGG